TTACCTTCATGTCAGTCCTATGAGGCAACAAGGGATTTTGTCCCAAATGGGAAACTGAAGCTTAGAGGTTCTTGGACTCAAGCCAAACACGCATGTGTGCCCTCCCAAGACCTGCTCAGTGCTGAGCTGCACCTGGACTCTGGGATGCCTGGCAGACGAGGCAGGCGTGCCAGCCTCTCTTACAGACTAAATCGAGCTCCAAGGCTCGCACAACTCCAAGAGCGACCAGGACCAAGTGTTCACAATCTGCTTTGGGCTTGGGGCTGCTAAAGAATAGGGGAGAAGGGTGTGCATCATTGCAAGCTTCAGTCTCGTTGGGAAGGAAAATCAACACAGCTGGTCCCCCAGGAGGATAATATCAGTGGATGCATATTGAGGTACCAGATCCGCTTCAGACGTGGTAGCCTTAACCTGACGACGGCCTGATTTTCTCAACCCTAAATGGACAGCGGTGGTAGTGACCTTCCTTGTGCTTGCTGTGAGGGAGAATGGCACAGGACACTGTGATGAGTCACCACTGTCATCACTGTCGCTGTCGTCATTCAGGGCCAGAGTGGTCAGGGTGAGCTCTCCTCAGACAGGCAGGGAAAGAGTGACAGGATGGACAGATGGACAGGTAGGCGCAATAGGAGGACAGCAGTGGGCCGGAAGGAGGAGAATGAAATGTACAGCAGAGCTGAGGTTGGAGTGACTGAGGCCAGGAAGGAGCGTGTGGTGTCCAAAGCACCATGGGCAGCCCCCAAGCCCTGTGCACCCTGCCCTGGGGTGCTCTGCGGGCAGGAGCTCTCCCGGCCTGCCCTGTGCCCACCTGGCGAGTCCAGAACCCTCGGACTCGCTCTCCTTCCACCCTGTATGTGTGTGTGTGTGCGTGCACGCGTGTGTGATCTCTTGCACCTCTTCACTTGGCTGTACCCCAGTAACCTCGAGAACTACGAGAAGTCACAGTCCTTTCCCGGGCCAGGACGAGTGACAAACCGATTCTTTCACCAGACCCGGGTGCACCAGGAACAGCGTAGCCATCTGCCGCCTATGCTGGGGGCTGAATCAGAGCAGGTGAATTCCGAGCCAGGTGCGCTGGGATCTGTGAACCCTGGAGAGTCCCCAGGGCCAGCACCGAGGTCTCTCAGGTCGTAACAGTTCCCTGTCCTGTCTCGATCTTGGGCCATCCCAAGCGAGGAAACGCTCCGTGTGTAGTTTCTAGCTTGGTACACGCAGGAGGCTTCTGAGGCCCTGTGCCCAGGCTGCATCCCAGACCAATTAAATCAGGCTCTCTGGGGACGAAAGCCCAGGCAGCCATGCCTGGAAAGGTCCCAGGTGACTCCACTGTGCAGCAAGTCTGGGAAACACTGGTCCGGACGCTGTGCCATCTCTTAGGCAGGAGAGGCCCGGTGAGGCCGGGGGCTGGCTGGCGGGCTCCTTGGCTGCCCACCTGGGGTGGTGATTCATTGGCTCCGAGGATCACATCTTGTCTGGCTGCCACGGTGTGGGCAGCAGCCAGCCCGGGCGGGCGATGATGTTCCCCGGGTGTGAGGTTCGCATCACTGGCCACACACGGGCGCCTGGCCTCTGAGCCAGTGGAGCTGGCCCTCCCAACCCCAGGGCCCGACCCGGAGCAGGAGGTGGGCACGCAGGCCCCTGCCTCTGGCCTGGATGGGGCCACTTGTGTCACTTCCCAGGTTTGTGGTGGGGAGGGGGCCGGATGGGTTTATCTGATGAAGAAAAGAGGACAAGAAGGAGAAACCTCAGGCCAAGGCAGCTGACGCTTGCTCTGTTCCAAACCAGGCCTGGGAGACTGGCCTTTGAAAGCCCAGACACAGCTGCCTTTTCTTACAGGGAACTGAGAGATCTTCCAGGGGCTTCTAGGGTCTTCTTTCACTTAATTTTTTTTCTTTTTTCAGACTGGGTAAAGAAACCAGGGCCTCCACACTGATCCACAACCCCAGACCTTTTTAAATCTTGAGACAGGGTCGCACTATGTCCCTAAGTTGCCAAGGACATCCTCCTGCCTCAGTCTCCTGAGTGCCAGGATTACAGGCACCATGCCTGGCTTGCTGAATGCTGTTTTTGGTGATAAGTATGAGAAAGCTTTTAACTCCTGTGGGGCAACAGCCACTGTGCCTCAGGGACAGGCGGAATGGAGTAACCACAGTGACCAGCCAGCTGGCCTCTCGGACTGGAGGCCCCCAGAGGGAAGGCAGGGTAGGGCCACAGTCAGGCACAACTGGTCCCACACAGATGTGCCCAGCCAGTGGGGACTGAGGCTGGTGTGGAGCTCCAGGAGCCAAGACAAGCTGGAGACTCCACTTGGGGGTCCCTGCATGAATGGATCAGTGGCGAAGGGAGCCAGCCTGTGAGGCTCGGCTGCTTCTTGCTCACCTGGGGCCAGCAGGAGCCATCCCTGTGGCTGCTTCCCTTGGCTGGGCCTCAGCAGGACTGAGGTCCGGTTCCAGAGGCCTGAGTGGGCCCTGCATCCCGGCAGGTGCCTCCCACTCCCCTGAACTCCCGCCAGAGTTGCCAGCGTGCCCCGGGTCCTGTGCTGCTGCAGCCTGACCCACTGGCCACAGCTCGGATGCGTGCGACGGTCAGTCAGCCACAGCCTTGGCTTTGCAGTGACTGTCACGGGAGCTGTGCACAGATAGGGTGCACACGGCGCACAGAAGAGCCGGGTGGCTCCCAGTCCACGGGGTCCAGTCCCTGCCCAGCCCCTCACTGGCAGTGGGACACAGGCAGTATTTCCCATTGAGTTTCGTGGCACATTTTAGGTGTACAGGGGAGTTACATTCATCACTGGTATCTTGTACCTTGGTTTTTATTTTTCCCCTTCCCCTCTACCCTTCCCTATTTGCAAAGACTTTGTTTCCATTTTTTCCTTTTCTCATATTTTCTCTTTTCCCTTCTTTCCTTTCCCCTACCCCTCCCACTTCCCCTACTCCTTTAGACCTTTTCTTCCTATTTCACAATATCAATTATACATTTTGATCCTTATTTACACTTCAGTTTCTCACACTAGAGAAACTATTTGGTATTTACTCATGTGTGTCCTATTTATTTCACTTAAGAGGATGGCCTCAATGTGCATCCATTTAGTGATAAATGTCTCTAGTTTCTCATTCTTTATGGCTGAGTAGTACTCCATTTTATTGAAAAACCACATCTTCTTTATCCAGTTTCCAGTTGATGGGCACCTGGGCTGTTTACAAGCTTTAGCTATTACAAACTGTGCTGCTATGAACATGGGTGCACATATATCGCTGTGATATGATTCTTTTAATTCTTTTGGGAAGGTCCCCAGCAGGGGAATAGCTGGTTCAAATGGGACTTCCAGCCCTAGTTCTTTGAGGTATCTCCACACTGATTTCCACAGTGGTTGCACCAGTCTGCACTCCCACCAGCAATAGAGAAGGGTTCCTTTCTCTCCACACCCCTGCCAGCATTTGTTATTGGTTGATTTCTTGATAGCAGCCATTCTTTCTGGGACAGGCACAATTTTTAACCTCTCTGAGCCTCAGGTTTGTGTTTTGCCTTTTAATTTTGGTACTGGAGATGGAGACCAGGGCCTTCGCACTGAGCGATTACCCCTGGCCCTTTTTGTTTTATTATCTTATTTCTATTTTGAAGCAGGGTCTCACTAAGTTGCCCTGGTTGGCCTCTCACTTGTGACCCTCCTGCCTCAGCCTCCAGAGAAGCTGGGATTACAAGTGTGCACCGCCACCTGGCTGAGCGTCCCTTCTGCAATCTGTAAAATAGGAACAATAGAGGTAGCGTATAAGAGAAGGCTTGAGACAGGGCCTAGCACAGGGCCATGACCTCCAGGAGGCTGAGAAAGAGCAAGCAGGAGCGGATGGGTGGGGAAGGGTGCTGAGACAGAAAGGGGACGTCGCTTCCTCGCTTCCGTGCTCGGGGCTGACATTACGTCTTTATCTGCTCTGTGGTTGGGAAAGGAGAGGAGAAGTGACAGCAAACTGCCTGGGATGCGCCTCCCTCCCACAGGGCTGCTAAGGGGGAAGTCGGGCAGGCTCTGTGGCTGGTGCCCACTGTGCCCCACCGGGTGGCGCTACGATGCCAGGGCTCTCCTGAACCCCCGGCCAAACCCAGACTCCCTCGGGTAGGGCTCCTCATCTGCCTCGAGGCTGCTAGGGTTCCACCGTGAGACAGATGATGGTTGTGACTAGCCGGCCACGCAGGCAGCGGGAGGCTCGACCCAGAAGGGACGGCAGTGAGGCAGTGAACGTGAGAAGCAGAACTGACTGAGGGGCAGAGCTCCTCAGCCCGCACCCCAGAGCCTCCCCTGCACTCCCTCTGCAGGCGAGGGACACTGGCCTCCATCCCACCCTCTTCGTTCCCGGCCCTTCCGGGACTTGAGGGCTGTCCTGTGAGAGATGGATGTGTTGTGGGGAATTGTGGATGAATTGTGTTGTGGGGCGCAGAACGGGTGCTGGAACCGCTGCTCGGCTCTGCACAGCCGGCTGCAGGGCAGCAGGCAGGTCGGTGGATGCCTCTGGACCCTCAGTCTCCCCTGGAACGTGGGGTGACGAGCCACCCTGTGGAGTTTGGGTTTGTAAGCAGCAAATGCGGTCACTCACGCCAAGTGCCTGGGGGGTGCTGGGCGGAGCTGGCTGTCCCCCTCCCCGGAGAGGAGGGCCGTCTCCTCAGAACGTGGCTCAGCTTGCTTTGCATTCACCAGAGCATCGACAGCCATCTTCTCCCTCGCAGTCCCCTCAGCAGCGTGGCTCTGCTCATTCACTGAGTCCTTGGTGCTGCAGGGACCAGGGTGCATTTTCACACTGGCCTTGCAGCCAGCACGAGGGATCGGTATTGTTCCCATTTCACAGATGAGGAGACTGAGGCTTAGATCTGAGTTGCTTCCCCAGGGGTGGCTGGCGTCTTCTTCACTCGGGGCTCGTGCAGTTCATGTCACCACGGGGGCCTCTGGGAGGTGTGGCTGTCCCTGTCTATCCCGAGGACCACCGTATAGCACCTCCCTTCTGTGTCTGCTCCAGAATGTCTGCAAGCCAGCGGAGGAGCCACGGCGGCCGCCCACGCTGCAGGAGGTCAGGCAGAAGATTGACAGCTACAACAGCCGCGAGAAGAACTGCCTGAGCATGAAGCTGGTGAGTGGGGCTTGCGGCTGCTCTGCCCTCTTCTCTGGAGTCCGCGCTACTCCCTAGAGCCTCCCGCTCCTCTCCGGGGGCCGCAGGACCTCTAGGGCTGTGGAAGGCTGGTAGCCTGGGCTGTCCGTGGCCTCTGTGGGCTCTGGGGAACCAGAACGGGCTTCAGAACAGGGTCCAGAGCGAATCTCTCCTGCGTCTGCTTTTTTTGCTTGCAACTTGGGAAACTTTTTAAACCTCTCTGCATCTCAGTATTAACTGAATTCAAGCCCTGTGTCGGAGATGTTGTGGGAACCAAATGACAAAATGATGGGGGCCTGGTATTGCGGGGTCTCCAGGAAGCCCTTGACCGGGGCAGTCTGCAGCTCCTCTTCCTTCCCCTCAGACTGTGCAGAGCCCAGGTGAGGGAAGTGACCGCTCTGGCTCTGGGCGCAGAGGAGGCCTCAGCCAGAGGGAGGGAGGTGGAACCTTGCCCCCTGCTGTCGGCCGGGAGCAACTGACTCTTTGGGGCTCGCAGTCTCAAGGGGTGTGGATCCTCTGTGGACCATCTCACAGAGCTCTGCTGTTCATCCCTGGTTCGGAGATATGAGCCAGCCTGGAACTCAACAAAGGGCCATGGGCGACTGCTTCTTGGTGCCCTAAGGCCTGAGCCTCCCGGGAGGGAAAACACAGCCGCCTCCAAGTCCTCTGTGGACGCTGTGGGCCTCCTGTGGCCTCGGGGAGGAAGGCGTCTGCACCCGCATGGGCCTCCCTAGGTCAGCAGACAGGAAGGATCTTGGGGAGACAGGTGGGGCTTCTTGGGGTGGCTCTGTTAGCATGGGGCCCTGACACGATCACACTGGGTGGACTCCCTGACCCCAGGTGACCTCCTCCCCCTCGCAGAGCGAAGATGGCACCTACACAGGTTTCATCAAAGTGCATTTGAAGCTTCGGCGGCCGGTGACAGTGCCTGCTGGGATCCGGCCCCAGTCCATCTACGACGCCATCAAAGAGGTGAACCTGGCCGCCACCACAGACAAGCGGACGTCCTTCTACCTGCCGCTCGATGCCATCAAGCAGCTGCACATCAGCAGCACCACCACCGTCAGTGAGGTCATCCAGGGGCTGCTCAAGAAGTTCATGGTTGTGGACAATCCCCAGAAGTTTGCACTTTTCAAGCGGATACACAAGGACGGACAAGGTATGAGAGAGACCTCCGGACCAGAAACCCCTCTCCTGCTCTGCCCGTGCCCACCACTGAATCCCCTGCCGCCCCGGGTGGGAGGAGTGGGCGTCTGTGCCCCGGGGTGCCGCCATCCTTGTGGCAGCCAGGTCTGTGGCAGAGCCCCGCGTGGACCTGCGCCGGGCTCAGCAGCTCCTGCCTGCTCTCTCTGCTCCTGACTCACGTTCAGGAAAACGCCCCCAGGCCTCTGTTTCCCACTCTGGGTAAGGAGAGGGAAACTGCCCACCCCTTCTAATCTTCTGGGAGATTACATGACTGGCAACAAGTTTAAACTGAGCAGACACCCACGATAAAGGTCACTTTCCTGTCTTTGTTTCAGTGGTGCTGGGGATGGCACCCAGGGATGGCACCCGCTGAGCACGCGGGCAGGTCCTGTCTTCTCGCCAGGGCTATTTCACTGGGCGAAAGGACCGTGTCCCGCCTGGCCAGGCCCGCCTTCTCCCGCAGTGTGGGCAGCAGCCTCTCTTGTTCACAGTGCTCTTCCAGAAGCTCTCTGTTGCCGACTGCCCCCTCTACCTACGCCTGCTCGCGGGCCCTGACACGGATGTCCTCAGCTTCGTGCTCAAGGAGAATGAAACTGGAGAGGTGGAGGTGAGTCTGGCCCTCAGGACGCTGGGGGGGAGACGATGGGTGCTGTCCTAGCTGCCGGCAGGGGTGGGAGCAGCGCAGCAGCAGCGCAGAGCAGATGACTTCCGGGAGAGCTGGGCTGGGGAGGCTCGGGGTTTAAGCCAGGACTGTCAGCCCCCCAGGGCCAGCAAGTCAGGGCCTGTGTCTGGCAAGTCCTGTGGAAAGGAGGGCTTCTCGGGGTTTGTTTCTGACAACTCCGGGGGAGAGGGCTGAGAGCCTTCCTGGGCTCGGGCCCAGGCGTTTTGCCCCAGGACGCTGAGGCCCAGCGAGCTCCTCCTCTGGGCTCCCCTGGGTGAGGTCGTTTTGAGCCCTTCGTCCCGTCCCTCTTCTGTTCTTTGCGTGCTGACTTCCTCGGTGGGGGCCAGCAGTGTCTAGGCCGTGGCCTCAGTGGGGCGAACCCAGGGTGGTGCTCCCCACAGCCTGGGATGGTGGGAGTGGGGTCTCCGGGGAGCCGGGAGAGTGGGACGGGCTCAGTGTCTGTGGCACTGTTCAGTGCAGGCCTGGGCGTGAGGAGTGGTTGTGGGGCCCGGAGAGGTGCAGGGTCTGGGCGGGTGGGCTCTGTCCCCACCCCAACCAGGGCAGCTCCGTGTCCGTCTGCGTGGACAGGAGTTTGGCCCTGGGGAGAGCGCCCACCCTGGGGGCCCAGAGGCCGGGGTTCCTGCACCGCCAGCTCCTGGCTGACGTTATGCCAGCTTCCCTCTGTGGACTCCGGTTCCTCCCTGGTCCAAGTGGGGACTGAACCCGCCAAATCACGGTTCCCTTCTGTCTCAGAGAGCCCAGGGGTCTCCACGCCTGGCCCTGCAGGCCCCTGTTCCTGTGTCTGCGGGAGGGCAGTTGGACTTGTTCTGCTCGGAGGCCAGGTCCCCTGCTCCAGGGGGCTGAGCCCTGGCCTCTCCAGGGAGTGCTGTCCCGTCTGCTCTGCCCGCACTGGGCTCAGTGCCCTGACCTCAGGTGGAGGAGAAAACGGCCCAGGCGGGGAAGTGGGGCGACCAGGTCACCCAGCTGGTGACTCAGCCCGGTGTCCTCCAGCAGCCTCTGGAGGGCCTGCCTGTCAGGAAGCTAGGCTGGGTCCAGCGTCGCTGCCAAGATCACCACTGCTATTAATTCTCAGAGTAAAAATATGGCTCGTGGGCTGGAAACTCTTGGTCACGAGGTGCCAGGACCTGCGCTTTTATTGCTGGTATGACAGATGAGTATAACCAAACTTCGGACAGTGCACCCGCCACGAAGTAGCCCAGTGTGTGAGTGCCTGATGCAGACAGTGGGAAGAAGGCGGCGGCAAGGCCCTAGGTCGGCCAGCTTCTAACCTGTCCCCTCTTCTGTCCTCCCAACCCTCCTGCCCCGCAGTGGGATGCCTTCTCCATCCCTGAGCTCCAGAACTTCCTAACAATCCTGGAAAAAGAAGAGCAGGACAAACTCCAACAGGTGCGGAATAAGTACACCGAGTTCAGACAGAAACTGGAGGAGGCCTTACGAGAGTCCCAGGGCAAACCTGGGTAACGGGTCCCACTTCTCTCTTCCCGGTGCGCGTGGACTTATTTTCGGTATTCATTATTGTTTGGGAACAGACACTTTTTCTCAGGACATCTCTGGTGGGTGTACTTGTGCCTGCCCAGCAACTCCAGATGCGACACAAAGCCCCTCCCACGGACGAGGGTTTGCGTGGGCTCCATTCCTGCCCACCGCCCACGCCGAGCCCCCCACGGACTCGGCCAGCGAAGGATCAGAACCCGTACGGAGTGAACCAAGTTGTCCTCTCCATCTGTAGCCTTTCCCAGAACAAATGGCTGCCTCTGCTCACCAAACTGGAACCTGTCCCCCCAGCCAGCTAAGGAAAGAAGAAAGGTTTTATAGAGCTCTGTGTTCTTTCTCTGGCTTTGCTCCTTCTTCACTTTCTCTTTCATTTTCCCCTTGCAATACTTTTATTTATTTACGCTGCAGCAGGCCAGAGCTCAGTCCCCGAGGCAGGGAAATGCTGGTAAGATTGTCCCAAGGTGCCTGAGGGAGGTGATCAGTCACTGAGCAGGATGCTGGGGCTGGAGGCTCGGGGCTCGGGGCGGCTCTGCGGTCCCCAGAGAAGCTGCAGCCCCCCCACCCCGCCCTGATCACCTGAGACTGAGTGCGTGGAAACCCAGAGGCGTACACCTGCATGTGTCTGTCAACCGCTATTTGGTTTTGTTTGCTTTTTGTAGTTCTGGGGATCGAACCTGGGGCCTTCACACTGAGCTACGTCCCTCGCCTTTTGTTTTTGTTGTTTTGTTTTGAGACAGTGTCTCACCAAGTTAACAGCGCCCCAGCCTGGGCTAGAAACTTGAGATCCTCTTGTCTCAGCCTCCAAGAGTGCCTAAACGGCTGTTTGAAGTTACAGACCTGAGACTGGTACTGTTGTCCTCCTCCTGTTTCTGCCCAAGGGGACCAGCATTCACCATTTCGAAAGTCTCCTGCTGAGTCGGAAAACCAGACCATAAGAGAAAGCCGAAAGGTGTTGCAGAGAAACGTTCGAGCTGTCTCCGGCCAGCCCCTAGCAAGGGGGCAGAGCAGGGCCTGGTGCCTTGGGTTTCCCTCTTGGCCTCCAGCACTGCTTCCCTCTGCCCTCTGGGACTGTGGCATCTCCAGGTGCTGGCCAAGGAGTAGCCTTGATTACGGAGGGGTCCTCCAACTCGGCCAGCTCGGAGTTTGTGGTAAAGCTCGGCTGGCCTACGGCCCCGGCTCAGGGAGCGTGGGCCTGACCCCCCAGCTGACCACAGTGCCTTTGTTTTCAGAGAGAGACAGGAGCAGGGCGTGTTCACTTGGAGCTCTGCTGCTGGCTTGCTCTCGCCAGGCAGTGGCTCCCTGACTCTGAACGTTGGCACTGCTTCTGTTTATGTTCAAACTTAAACTGGCCCGAAATTCCAGCAAGTAGCCAGGACTGCAGACACTGCAGTGCAGAGGGAGGGGACTTGTCATACCAATCCGGCCCCTGACTGACATTTCTTTGATGCCCTCTGCTTTCCCAAGTCCCTCGCAGGCTAGCTTGAGCCCACACTCCTCCGTGTACCCTCAGATGTTCCCTCCCTGACCCCACAGGAGTGCCAACCCTTGTCACACAAACTTTTTTTTTTTTGGTGCCGGGGATCGAACTCGGGTCCTTGCGCTTGCGCAGCAGGTGACGAAACCACTGAGCTAAATCCCCCGCCCCATCACACAGACTCTTCAGAGCTGCAGCTGCCACCTGGGCTAGCAACTCTCACAGATTTCTTAGGACGCCCAAGCCCTGGAACCTCCCATCTCACGCTCAGCCTTACCTCTCCCCGCCCTGTAGTGAAGGCAGCGGGTGGGGAGCCCTCCTCAGTCCTGCATGTCTCTGACGTGGAGAAGGCACAGCTCCTGCTGCAACCCCCGCGAATGCTGCTCAGACCTTCCCTCGACGGGACGGCTCTTTTATTTTTGAGAAGGAAAGCAAATCATGTACATATATACAGATGCACATAGCTATATATAGAGAGATAACGGTTATGACAGAAGAAAATTATGGGGAAATTCCGACTTTAAAGCACAGTTAACCCCTGGGCCTGTGCTCAGGTTTTCGCCTCCAGGACGTGTGTGTAGAGCTTCCTCCCCTCCTGGAGGTGGGGGTAACTGCTGGTAGTGCCTTCCATGGTTCTGTTGCTCAGTGTGTGTTGGTTTTAAGACTATTTTCTTTTTCAGTGTCTTTCTTATATGGGTTTAAAAAAAAGAAATAAAAGCTTGTAAAAATTATTCACAATGGAAGTGTCTTCCTTGAACTTTACCATCTTATGAAAACTGGAGCTGAGGTGTCCGGGCGGGGGACAGGGACAGTCACGCCCTTCTTCAGGGCCAGGTTTGCTCTTGCCAGAGAGCGGAGAAATGGAAGCTGCAAAGGCTTGTGGGAAAGCTGTCCACTGTGGGCCGGAGGGAGCCGCCTGGCTCATCCCTGGGCTGCAGAGCACAGGGAACCCTGACAAAGCAGGTGCTGAGCCAGAGAGAGGACGGTTAGACACCAGGACAGGTGACTGAGGTAAGGCACTCATCTATTTCTGGACGTGTCCTCGAAAACATAAGGCCACTGCATCTGGAGGAGGAAGGTGAATTAGGCGACCAGGACTGCAGCAGAGGAACACGTCTGCACACGCTGACATGCCACATGGCTGACCCCGGAAGTCCTGCTGCCTTCTGTGATCACGCATCACGCTCTCCAGGGCTCACCTGCCCAGCCCGCCTGCCCTGAGGAGAGAGCACCCTATCCTCTGCCAGGCAGCCTGAGAAGCAGCCAGTTACTGTGTACATCTGCCACAGGCGGTGCCCTGCACTTCCCAGAGGACGCTCGCTGTCTTTCAGTGATTTTGACCAAGTGTGGAAATGAAGTGGTTCCTGCTTTACACTGAAACTCATTTTGTTACAGCAGGAGTTTAGTAAGTTCGACATTGTGAGTTTGGTCTTGAGATCGAGTATTTGGCTCAGTACACAGAAAAATGAACCCATTACACAGCCTAACCGTACACCGCCCTCTTACACGTCTCCACGCTAGTCACAGGGCACAGGGAGGATGACTCAGTCCGTGTGTCACCACGGCTGGAAAAACCACTCTACGCACAGGTCTCAACAGCACTTGCTCACAGTGGAGTTCCTCTATGGGACCTCGCCCCGCCGCTTCCTGGCGTGGTCTCTTCAGCAGGATTAACAAGACAACGGACTCCACTCCTTCCAAGACTGACACTGGTCACGGTGTGAAGGAACTTTGAGCAGTATGGCTGGTTATTTGTAGTCACATGACAGGCCAGCTTTCGTCAGACTCCGGCCATCCACAGGCCTTGTTGCACCAGGACCCTGTTTGGGGTCAATTTCTAGAAATCCTACCCTGGTTCCCTGTGCGCATGCGGCAGGGAGAGTGACAGGTTACTCACCAGCGAAAAGGCAGGAGGCACCACACACACCTTAGTGCTGATTCCCTTTCTCCCTTCCAAGCTTCGGATGGGCAATTTGTGGATATTTCAAGCCTTTGTGTCAGTTTTTAGAAAAAGGAAAGCGAGAAAGGAAAACAGGCAGCATAAGGAAGTGTAATTGTTTCTTGGTGGTAAAATTCCAAGGATGTGACGGGATTCGGCACAGCTGTCACTAATGCAGCACAGGGAGGGCGCTGGTCACGGAACTGACGGCCGAGATCTGGGAAGGGAAGCGATGCTGCCGAACATCTGGCTCTGGCCCAGCGGGCCCGTGGGAAACCGACAGCCGCACGGTTCCTTCTCGGGAGAGGGCCATGGAATTCCCTGGGCAGCATTCCCAGCCCTCTGAAGACCAGCCGAAGACCTCTCCATGAACGCCAGGCTGGAAGGTCGGGACTGGAGAAGACATCTGTGGGCTAAGACTTCACCGCAACACGGTTAGCACCTCAGGAGCACAGCAGAGCGCTCGTCAGGGAACAGTCTCGGTCATGCCGGCCCTGAGTTCCGCCTGCTCCTACCGCCTGGGTCGCTCTGGCCTAGGCTCTGCTGCAGTTTAGAGTCCAGGCCTCTGTCACCTCGACTGGTGACACAGACAGTGGGGCTCTGTCTTCTTTAGGACTGAGGCTGAGGTGCAGGGAGTGTTCTGGGCGAGAAGGGTAAGTAGATAGTAGGGACAGATGAGCGGGGGCCACACAGTAACTGGAGAGGGGCTTTAAAGCCAGGAAGGGCCAGGGCCAGGGCACGGGGAAAGGGCCAGGGACTGAGCTACCAAAACCACGGGAGTGGAAAAGGCCCAGGGCCAGGCCTCTTCTGTCGACTTAAAATGCCGCTGACTTTAAAGTTAGTACAGGGCCAGGGATTTTGCTCAGTGGTTTCGCTGCCTGCTTCATAAACGCAAGGACCCGAGTTCGATCCCCGGTACCAAAAAAAGTTAGTACAATGTGTTTGTTAAGTGATGGAAAGAAGGCGGAATCAGATTTAGATTGCAATAAAAATTTCTGGTAAAGGGTTATATTTTTTATTTGCAAAAGCAGAAAATGCTCATATAAATTAGCAGCCCAGAGCCTGGACTTCCCCTGAGAGCAGTCACTTCTTGACGGGCTTGGGCGCCTTCTCCAGGCCTTGGATGTGTTTCCGAGGGAGCCCGTACTCTTCTGCAATCCAGAAGGTGCACGATGCTCAGTGCTCGGCCCTCCCTCCGCCTGCCCTCGCCCGCCCCCCCCAGCTCAGCATCGCCCCTTGGCCTGGCCCAGGGCCCAATAACCACACCCTCTCTGCCCCAGGCCCTCCCTGCCGCCAAGGTGCTGATCCCACGACCCCAACACTGAGCGCTCGAGCCCCTGGGACGGGCACTCACCACAGCTCGGGCTAGCTATCGGCCTCCCAGGGGGACTGGGACGGGCGCTTAGTTTCTCAAGAGAGCGTGCATGTGTTTGTGTCTGTGCTGAACTGTGTGATTCTTCTCAGCACCTCCCACGGTCCTTCACACAAAGGGCTCGACTGCCAGGTGCTGCCATAGGCCATAACTTTATTGAGCATTTACTATGTGCCAGGCCCTGAGGATGGGATGAGCATGAAGGCAAGGTCTCTGCCTCGAGGGGCTGCCTCTACTGGGGGCTCAGTCGTTAGAAGAAATCAGCCAGGCTGCAGACACTAAGCAGAACATAAGCACAACAGGAAGCGCCCCCTTAGGGACATGGGACGTGAGCCCTGAGCTGGACCAACCGGCTGGCGGCAGGCACCCTCAGCTGTGGGAGGGCCAGCGAGGCACAGGTGCTTTCTGCTTGGGAGAAGCAGGCAAAGGGCAGGCCCGGTCTGTGGGGAAAGGCAGGAGGCTGCCAGGGCTGAGGCCGGCCGGGAAGGGAGAGACCGGGCTCGGGTGGGGGTCCTATGTGCGGAGCTCAGGAGTTTATGCTGAAAGCATGGGTGCGGCACAGAATTCCTCCCGGGACGGAGGCTGAGTCAGGCTGACCTGGGCAGTGTGGAACGGAGGCTGGGCCACTGGAGTGAGGAGAAGGAAGGAAGGAAGGGAGCCCCCAGACAGCTTTCAAGGTCAGGTGAGCCAGTTATGACGGCGTGCCTGTGATGCCAGCCCTCTGGGAGGCCGAGGCAGGACTGTAAGTTCTCGGCCAGGCAAGACAACTTAGTAATTTATCGAAACCCTGTCCCAAAATAAAAACTAAAAGCAAAGGGCTGCTCAGTGCAGAGGTTCTGGGTTCAAGCCCCAATACTGCCAAAAAAAAAGGAAGTCAAGAGAGCTCAGGGCAAAGTACTGAACCGTTCTGGGCTGCAGTTTCCTCATCTGCAAAACAGGTAATAGTTCTGCAGCTTCATCCTGACTGTGGAGACGCCTGCCAAAAGCTCAGCAAGTGCCTACACCATTTGGGGATTCAGCAGGTGCTTCATAAAATGAGAGGAGCGGGGAGAAAACTAACAGTGTGTGTGCTGGAGAGGAGGGGCCACGGGACCAGGTTCCATCTCTGCAAGCTGCTAAAAGCTGCGTGTGTGTGTGTGCGTGCGTGCGTGCGTGCGTGCGTGTGTGTGTGTGTGTGTGTCCCATACACAGGTGCTTCTTGTTTTATGATGGGGCTACGTCCTGATAAACCCACTGTCAGCTGAAAACACTACAAGCTGGAAACACAGGTAACACCCTAAGCCTCTGCATGTCACAACTCGGGAACGGCACTCTCGTTTACCCTTGGGATCCTGGGGCTGACTAGGAGCTGTGCCGGCCCAGCAGGGGAAGAGTATCTATCATCCAGCATGCGCTGGCCTAGGACAGGATCGAAATTCAGACTCCAAGCCCAGGCACTGCGGGCTGCGTGTCCCTTTCACGCTGTGGGTCAGAGTGCCTGCGAGTATGGACACTCGGGCACTGTGAAGGAAGCCCGCAGCGCCTGCCCAGTGCGGCGCTCAGGGGTGCTCACCAAGCAGCAGCTGGCCCAAGTGGTGGATCTGGTTCCCCTGGATCTGCACCTGCAGGCCGTCCTTGACTCCGGGCACAGCAGTGACCGAGGTGCTGGCCTGGCACCGCTTCTGGAGGATGGAGGCCACCGAGCTTGGGTCTAGACCATAGGCCTCCAAGTTTCTGACCACAGTCACCTGGGGGACAATGGGGACAGCAGACTGACGGGGGTACCAGGCACACAGCCTCCTTGCAGGGGCCTCCCCGGCCTCCCCAGCCTCCCCTCCTCCATGCTTCCTGATGGTTCACCATCCCTACGTCCCCTTTGTCCAAATAGCTTATTTTACCTTCTAAAATGGTTCTATGTAATGTCTTAAGTTTTTTTAAATCATGGAGAATATAAAACCTAAATAAAAGCAGGATAGTAAGGAACCCCCATGGGCCCCACCGTCAGCTTTAACAGTTACCAGCTCATGGTCAATCTGGATTCTCCTACAGCCCCATCGAGGGAAAGGCTGCATTTGAACCCAGGTCTGATTCCAAAGCCCACACTCATAACCACACACTACTAGCAAGTTCTCTACCTTGACCCTTAGGATTTCTACCAATCACCCTGTCTGTCTTCTCCGGGCGTACAAAATAAAGAGCACTCCTCTTGTAGAAGCCAGCTTTCCACATTTTTGAGGTCGGATGTAATTTGTTCCCTACAACTCTGTGTTGCCAAGCTAAACACACTCGGTTCCTTCAGCAAGTTTTTAACAAGTTATTTTCACTGAGCAAGGCCCAAGAGGTAATAGAATGCATAAGAGCCAAGGCCTATAATGCCGTAAGAAAAAAATAAAATCTTTACTTTTACAAATGGGCTTTAGCAAGTTTCCAGGCACCCACCCTCTAGGATGAGGAAGGGCTCAGCTCTACCTGTCCATATGGGGTGCCGCCAGGCACAAGAGCACGTTTCATAAACAGCACTGCAGTGTGTGAAGCCTGTCTAAAAACCTCCTGTCATGTTAGGGAGACCAGAACTTACAGGGTCACTAGACCACCATGCTCAAACACTGCATCTTTTTAAATTACCTTTTTATTATAAGACCTCTGTGCTAGGGTGATGTCAATAGGAGAGATTTTCCCTTTCTTCACAATGGGCTCTTGTCCAGGAAAGGTCACTTGATAGGCAGGTTGCAATTTTTCAAAACATCTGAAATGAGAGCTGTGAGTTATAACTGGTAAAGTCAACCACAGCACTTCTGCTGCAGCAGGTGCTGGGTGGAGGCGGATGGCATAGGCCAGTGGTCTGCAGCCGGGCTGCGTGCGAGACACATCCAGATCCGCACTGCATCAGCGTCTGACGGAGGGAGGGTCCTGACAGCTCCCCAGGTGCAGCCAAGGATGAAATCTGCTGCCTCAGGGACTTGGCCCCTGGAAACTGTCCGCTGGCCTGGACTTTAGACTTCATCCAGGCCACTGTGGGAGTTCTGACCCATCTCAAGAGCACCCCTTTCTGGCTTCTTGCCTCCAGTGCTGCTTCACATTGCTGGCATATTTCCGTAATACATCTTTCTTAGGGCACCTTTACTGCAAGGAATTTCTACCTTTTACCTGACCAGATTTTCTCCAGGTATCCTACGCATGAGGGTTGACAGACTTTTTCTATGAAGAGCCAGATGGTAAACATTTTGGGTCTCACAGGCCATCCAGACTGTGGCAAACTACTCAGTCCTGCCTCTCTGGGACAAAGCACTCACGACAGCACATAAGTGGGTATGGATGTGTTCCAACAAAACTTTTTTAAATGAAAACGGGGCAGGCCAGATTTGGCCCATGAGCTGTAGTTTGCTGACCCTTGGCATAAATTATTTTCAGTTCTGGTTCTGTGGAAAAACAGCCTTAAGAACCTTTCCCTTGAAAACATTAAGATAATTCCTAGCCCTTTTTGCTTCTCTTGTTGGAGATCTTGTTTTTTTATTAATTTTCCTTTCCTTTCTTCCTTGCGAGTCCTGTCCCAAAGAACTTTCCATCAGAATTACTCAAGCCTGTGGTAGAAGTCACAGGAAGGAGTTACGGGCCATGACTGAGATGATTTGGAAGTTTAAGGTGACGGACGTTAAGGGGAGGGGACAGTGTTGGAGAAAGATTGCCAATCCCTGTTACCTGCTCAGGAGACTGTCCCATGGAAGCTTCAGGACCGTGTGCTGCTCATTTCTCTCCAGGATGCAGTCACAGAGGACGGGATCCAATTTCACTAGGCTGAAGGGAAGAAGAAGCAGTACAGAAATCCGAGTCTGGAGCCTTCTGCCCATGAGGGGACTCGGGGTTCATCTCTTCTGTGTCCTTTACAGTCATTCAGGATCGGACTCAGGGGCTGGAGTTTGTCAGGCAGGTGCCCCCCGGGAGGGGCACACACACTCCTGGGGGGAGGCAGGGGTGCGGGTACGTGGGATGGGACAAATCAGAAGACCAGAGTGCGTGGCTCAGCTCCGCTACAAACCATGCGGCGCAGCTTTCTAGGCTTAATTCCTTCGTGAGCTAGCAAGGAAGGCGAGGGATATCAATGGTGACTGCCGCGATCTGGCCATCAGACAGTGCACGGGCACTGAATTATCACCCAGTACCCCATACGTCTATACAGTTGCAATAATCATTTAGGGCTGGGGAGGGCCGGGGATTTAGCTCAGTGGTTCCGTTGCTTGCCCTGCAAGCACAAGGACCCAAGTTTGATCCCTGGTACCAAAAAAAAAAAAACATTTAGGGCTGGGGTGTAGCTCAGCGGTGAAGCACTTGTCTAGCACGTGTAAAGCCCTGCTCGGTTCCATCCCCAGCAGCACAAAATAAATCAATTTAAATGTTAAATGAGAGCATTAAATTAGACTGAAGAGGCTCAACTTTTTGACCATGAGAATGTCTTTTTTGTTGCTTTTTTGAGATAAGGTCTCACTATATAGTTCAGGCTGGCCTTGAACTTGCAACTCCAGAATGCTGGGATCACTGACGTGCACCACCATGATCACCGTGAGGTTGTCTTTTGGGTGAAAAAGGGGAGGGTAGGCTCTCTGGTAGTGCACTATCTATGTCCCTCAGTGAGAGAGTAATGCCGAGCCACCCCTGCAGTGAGGACCAGTGGTGGCTATGTGCACAGCACTGTGAGCTCAGTCCACAGGCAGTGCTGACAGCACCGGATCTGAACACCCCAGGCGCTAACTAGATGTCCTCAGCCCTCGGCTCGGAGGCAACGGTCTTGTGCGCTCCTCAGATGCTGAGACTGTTCGTTCTTGTCCCCAGACCACCTCCCCAGGTGCATCTGTCCTGCTAAGGATGAAGACCTAATGACAGACCGGTTCGCACCCACTCACTTCTTGTTGTTGGCATCCACCAGGTCGTTTTTCTTGATGTAGTCAATGATGGTCGCTCGGACCTCACTGGCCTCGAGAGTGGACCCCTTCCTAGGAGACGAGAGGTACCTGGGTTTGGTTCCGGCTGTGCCAAGGGACAGACTGCAAATACGCAGACTCCCCTCTGCTCAGCAGTGCTCTCTCCCTGGCTTTTGACCTCTGTTCTCTTCCCCCTTGCTGACTGAGGTGGGCAGGTGTAGGACTGGGAAGGAGGCCTGAGGGCGGTTCGAGAAGAAGGGATGGGGCAGAGCAGGTTTGCCAGTCACAGAAGAACACCAGCTGGGCTGGGGGGACACGCAGCCGGGCACCAAACAGGCAGAGGGGGCTGCGGGCCAAGGCTCACCTGTGCCCAGACTCCCGGAAGAGCAGGCTCATGCTGGTGGGGACACAGTAGAAGGCTCTTACATCTGGAGGGTGATAGGGCTGTTCTCTGCTACCCTCCTGCACAGTCTGGGGGTTCGGGGAGGGCTCAGGGATGATGAAAGATGCGATCCTAAAACCCAGCAGGAGGGAAGGAAAAGCATGTCTTACACCAGTGTCCCAGCGTCCCCACGCTGAGCTCCCGAGACCAGGCCCTGCACTCACCTCGGATGCTTCCAGTCCACAGCCACAATGCTCTCCACCCCTCTGCTCAGCTCCTTCACCTGCACAATCTCCTCCTGCTGCATGTGCTGCAGGAACTTAGAGAGCTGGGGAGAGGGCCGGGCAGGGGCCTCACTGACTCCACGCACACAGAGCCTCCGGAAGCGCCAGGCTGGGAGGCTGGCGCGGAGGTTGGAAGGTGATCCCTGCCTTCCTCCCCTGGGAACTGGGAAGCCCCACCCTCAGGTCGGGAGCAGGGGGCTGCCAGAGGTGAACTGCGCAGAGTGCGCCAGCCCGGGGAGTTTCTTTATCCCCCTTATACTCCAGTCAGGAGACTTCACTCCAGCCTGCGCCTGCAGACGGGTGTCCCCAATGTCTGCCCGCCATACGCATACACAGCTCTCCACATGTGGAAGCAGAGATGACACCTGCTCACCTTTTTATAGCTCGACTTCTTTATGTCCAGCTGCTGTCCTTCAGGGCTGATGGCAGACAGAAAAGGCAAGTTAAGCCAACCAAGCAGTGGGGTGGGACCTGCCTGCCTCAAAGAGGAGGCGTTTGTCCTCAGCCTTCCTCCCCCATGTCCGCTCCAGAGCTCTCTTCCTGCGGGTGGCGTCGGAGAAGGATGTGGGCTGTGGGACACTCTGAGCCAGTGGCCTCCAACAAGCTCTCTGTGCAGACGGAACAGCTCTGTCTGTGCTACCTGCCACCCATGTGCCCATTAAGCACTCAAGATGTACCTGTGGTGCTCAAGAGCTTGCACTTTAAGTTTTATTTACTTTTGGTTAATTTAAACTGAATTGGGCATATGTGGCTATCGGCTACTGCACTAGATACTGTTTTAGGTTTCTCTTAAACCAGAAAACCTTCTGTGGCCTTAGACGTCCCACTTTCCAACAGCAAGTTCCCACTGTGGACACCAGCCCAGAGCAGGGGTTGGCCCACTGCACCCTGCCCCACCTGAGCTAAACCCTTTACTCTGGTGCCTGTGCTCACACTGGCCAGTGTGAATAGTTGTAACAGACCCTCTGGCCTCCAAAACCTCAAATATGTACTCTTTGGCTCTTTGCAGAAAAAGTCCGCTGAGCCCTGCCTACAGCAATTAGGTTTTGAGTAGAGGTTTCTTGATGAAAGTTGTCATCTTTCCCCCCTCCCAGAATTCACAGCTCTCCAAACATGCACCCAGTCACAGCAGGATTCTCAGGGAGCCTTTTTTGAACCCACTCCACGCTCATGTCTGTCTTAGCAATACCCTAGGACCCTTTCCCGTCACCTGCAAGCCAGCAAGGTCAGGACCAATGACCATGGACACTACCACACACTACTCCAGGGTCTCCCTCACAAGTGCCTTAATGAAGCCCACAGGCAAACGAGAAGAGAAGAAACTGCTAGAGAAACAGCCAGTCTCAGAAAGCAAGAAGTTCAATCTAGGGGCAAAATTAAGAGCAAGTCTCCTGACCTGAATGCATGGGAAGAGTGCGTATGAAGCTCAGCCGTGGACCTGTGACGGCAATCCTCTGAGTACCAGAAACCCAGCACCCAGCTGCAAGCTGCCTTAGCTGAGCTCCCACAGCTCTGTGCTCCAGTGGAGGCTCCATCCACTGGCAGCCCTGCCTCTCCTGGTGGCTTATGTTCCGGTGGGCTGGGGGCCTCCCCGCTTCCTCCCGATACGACCCGGTCTGTCTCTCCTACACTTCACAAGCTCGAGGGGCGGAACATCAGAAACCTCCCAACAGAGGTGCCCAGAGACCGAGCCTGTGCAGGGAGAGCTGCCGCAGCAGGGGCCGCCCTCGGAGAACCTGGGAGTATCAACCTCCCGTCTCCTCAGCATCCTCTCAGGGCTCAAATGGCAGCTGCTAACGCCCAGAACCAAGCTTACTTGCAGATCAACCTCCCTCTGCTCTCCTCACAGCACAGCCCTCAGCCAGTCCCCACTGTCCTGTCCTGGTCCCCACCAGGATCAAGCCTGAGACCCATCCCGGCCTCCAGCCCACAGCAGTGCCTTCCCTACCAGCAGGAGAACATGTGGCTGCCCAGGAACGTGCTCGTGAGTAAAGGGAGGTCGGCCTTTCTGACCCGGCACTTCAGCGCATGCAGGAAGCACTGCTGTAACAGGTCATCCATTTGCTCTGCGGGAACAGACCGGAAGCCATCCTGCTGCGGGGCACACGATGCCTCCCCCAGCTCTATCCCACTCCACTCCTCTGCTCTGAACAGACCGGACTCCCAGAAACCAAAGCTCCCAGACCCATGAACACTGAGCCTTTACAGAGGTCGACCCAGAGAAGGGGGTCAAGCCACAAAGTGCCCCCAAGCCAGGAGCATTCGCCCAGAGAAGGCAGACCAGAAGACACCCAGTATCGGGGGAGCCTGGCACCCAGTGAGACCTAACTTGTGGAGAAGGATGCCACAGGCCGCCGCACCACCCCCACCAGAAATGGGGACTCACCCACTCCCTCAGACCTTCAGTGCCCTGCTGGGCAGAGAGGAGGGGATGGGCCTCCAACTCCAGCCATACCTTGAAGCGACTTGCTGTCCGCCAGGTCTTGGCTCGGGTCCCCGGTGCTGCCGTCCTCTGAGGCATCTGGGAGGGGCCTCTCCCCATGCAGCCGATGGGGCTCCCCGTTCCCCTCCACCTCTCCCTGCAGGGCCAGGGCCCTCATGTCTCCCCGCACCTTCTCTTCACTGACGTCTGTGGCATCCAGCACCGGTGGAGCAATGGCCGGTGGAGAGGACTTGTCCCCGGATTGCCTGGAAAATGTCCCATCACACACCAGGGGGCCACAGCCCGTTCCCACCCATGGAGGTCACCAGGACTCGGAGCCGGCAAGAGCCAAGGCAGGAATGAGAGCCTGTGCTCTCTCAGTTCAACTCCATTTCAATTCAGTTCAGGGCCCAGAAGAGTTCCCTGCCTCAGTTCCCTCACCTCTGAAATGGGAGAAAAATTCTTGCTTCCTCTCCAACCCAAGGGAATAACTTTATTGTTAATAGATATCCTGAGACAAGCGAAAATTAAAGGAAAAGCAGTTAAACACAACCCCCTAAAAGTACTCCCTTTGTATGAGGAAAAAGAAAAAGAGCTTTGAATTAAACAAGATAAAGATGGCAAATGAAAAGTCAGGTGCGGGGGTGCACACTCTGGGAGGCTGAGGGAGGAGGGTCACAAATTTAAGTTCAGCCTGGTCAACTCAGTGACTTAGCAAGACTCTGTCTCAAGATACAAACTCTAAAGAGGGCTGGGGATGCAAAAGGTCCTTGGTTCAATCCCCAGTACTTACAAAAAAGATTGCAAATACACTCTCAAGCTGCTGTGTTAAATCAAACGCCGTCTAATTTGCAGGGCTGAGAGTACCACGGTTTGTTCCTCAACCTTAGGGACACAGTGGTGTCACAGAGCTGAGCACGCAGAGGTGAAAAGCACTATCTTAGCCAGGACTGTGTGGATCAAACCAAGTTTTAACTGGCAGCTGCAGTAAGGTTGTTAGGGTCCGTAATCGTGAGCCCAAAGCGTCTGTTTTGGCTACTCCGACAGGTGGTTAACAGTATTTTCTACAGCAGGGGTAAGGGGTTGAGGCAGCTGCTGAAGGCATGGCCCTGATTGCACCTTACAGGGACTGGAGTCCAGGTGCTGGGAGTCAGCCGTCTGCCCTCAGGATTCCGATAAAAGCAGGCAGAGGCAAGGGTGAGTTCATTCCAACAGGCCACACACTGGGTGAAAAGACCACTCGCTACGCTAGGACTGTTTCGGGAAAATGTCAAGAAAACAAGCTGAAAGTGAACTGGATAGAATGCAGCTCTGGAAAGCAACTGTTACGGAGGAATGTGCTAACTTCCGCAATGCAGAGGTGATCTGAGACCTGAACAGCATGGAGGTCATCAGTCATCCTGGCGTCCAAGGACCCATCCTGCTGATTTCGATTCGGAGCCACTGTCACAGGGCCAGAGGATGCCTGATGTGCGTGGCAGGTAAGGCCCGGCTGACCAGGGTTATTTTAAAAATGAGGACCATCAACCCCAAATGTCTCCCAGGCCTAGAGAACTCTCACCTAGAAAATCATCAAAGTTCTTGCTAATTTCTTGCCTGAACTGGAAAAAATATAAATATTTTCCCCACAGCTGGCAAGGAAACGAAGTCTGGGGTAGGCAAAGTGCCTAAGGCTGGGCCCAAAACTTGCCCTTTGGAACCCTGGGCCTGTGCTCCCCGAAGAGGAAGAAACACGGTACCCACCACAGGTGGTCCTGGTATGTGTGGAGCAGCGAGAAGCCCCTTCCCTTCAGGCCTGCAGCCAGCATCTCAGCGGTGGACATGGCAGCCACTCCGATCGCTACGGGGGCCCTAGGAAGAAGCAAGCCAGAGACCAGGCTCAGGGAAAGCCCACTGGGGCGCACGTTCAGGCTGTCATTCCTCCTTCCCATGTGGGAACGCGCCATGGTCACCAGTCTGGAGCACCCCCTTCTATCACAGAGCTCAGCTCCTCTAATGACCTATAAATAACACTTTCAAACATCCCTTGGCCAAACGTTCCCTTCCAAGTAACTCCTCTGACATAATTACTGCCTTCATTCTATTCCAATTAGCAATTTAACCCAGGCATAACTTGTAAGGATAGGGAAACTTCCCTTCCTTTCACTTCAAAACTGTAAGAAACCATAGCCATCATTCTATAAGGGACTTCAGAGGGAGGCACTTCGCATGACACAAATCAGGCTAGAAGAGGCATAAGAAAGAGAACTGATAAACAGGGGAGCCAGCAAGAGGTTATTTTGAGTCGGCTCTTTATAAGCAGGGCTCACTCTGAAGCTACACATCTAAGAATGGGTCGATGCTGGCATATCCAAAACAACCACATTTCCGCTAAGTACAAAAACTCCCAAAGTCCAGTGAGAAATTTCTGTCACCCTGGTGTTACTCAACACATTGCCTGTGAGGACAGGAGACCGCTGGGTGACAGGAGGGTTCATTATCCTGGGTCCAAGGGAGCAGACTCAAGAGCTGCCAGCACCTGAACTGAAAATTTATTTTACTGAATGTGCCGGGTCCACTTCCTGTGTCTATAATAGGGCCAGTTCCTGTGACAAAAACTTTGAATTTGGCTTCTTTCCTGGTTATTAAGAGAGGACTTTTTCCTCTATCCCCAAAAAGGTGAATGGCTCGGGAACACCAGTCTTGAACGTGACTTGCATTTTTAACAGATCTCCTTGTTCACCCATCCCCACCATGAACTATCCCTAAGCCCATCCCCATATACTTTCTTTTTTTTGGTACCGGGGATTGAACTTGGGACCCTGCGCTTTCGAGGCAGGCGGCACCACTGAGCTAAATCCCCGGCCCCTCCCCATATACTTTCTGATGCTAAATTGTGCAAGCCAAATATCCATGCATGTAGCTAGACAGAATATTAGAGGGAAAATTAACAACATACCATTCTTTTCAACTTGATTTTCCGCTACAGGTAAACAAGAAAGAATTCTGCGTGTGATTCCAAAAAGTTCAAGGAAAATGAGTAGCAAAAATAAGATCTTTGGGCTGGGAATTTAGCTCAGTGGTTCCGACACCTGGCTCACAAGTGCAAGGTCCTGAGTTCGATCCCCGGTACCAAAAACAAACAAACAAAAATAAGATCTTTAAATTAGGCATGGTGGCACATGTCCAATGGAGGCTGAGTCAAGAGGATCAAAAATTGAAGCCCAGCTTGGGCAATTTAGTGACTTAACGGGATCCTATCTTAAAATAAAAAGGGGCTGGGGATGTAGCTCAGTGCAAAGGCCTTGGGTTTGATCCCCAGTACCACCAAAAACAAAAACAAAAACAAACAAGCAAAAAAACCCCACAAAAAACCACTTTAAACACAGACCTCTCTCTTGCCTATAATCTCTCCTCCTCTCTCAAAGAAACAATGAAGGAGATAATGAAATGTAATTCTTCATCCGTTAGGATGACACAAATGAACAGCACTGGGGCTTCTAGACTCATCAAGAAGATACTGTCTGTAATAAACACAAATTACAGGCAACCTCACTGTCCTCCAGGGTAAGAGCCAAAACACAACCACACATCAAGTAAAAGGTCTGGCAGATCTTCCAGTATGTGTGGTGTGGAACACGTCCACACTATAGTAAGGGAAAAAGCAACATATACACACTGTAGTTTCTTTGTATTTTAAACACGTATACCCCAAATCATATATTTTTATACAAATATGCATATCTGCATTGAAGAACGGGAGGAAGGACACACATGAAAAAAATAGTTTCTTTGAGAAGACGACTGTTGGGCACCAGGGCTTTTAATTTTCAGAATTGTTCATAAAATTCCTTCCTAATTTATTTTTAAAAAGCAGCAGCAAGTTGACAGTTGAATAACTGTAAATACACTAAAAGTCATTCAATTGTACATCTAAATCAGGTAAATTTCATGGTATGTAAATTATACCTCAATAAAGGTATTAAAAATAATTAAAAGTTGAAGATGATAATGTGCATGATGGAAAAAAAGTATGAAGGTGAGAACAGACAAAGAAAGACCAAGAGAATGTCACAGATAGAAGGAGGCTAGAAAATATGACAGCTAAACACAATGTGGTATCCTAGAAGGGACCCTTGAATGGAAAAAAAAGAGACATGAGTGGGAAAACTGGGGACCTGTCCCAACATTAAACCTGAGCTGTGACAACACCGTGATTACGTAAGATGTCACCATTAGAGAGGGCTGGGGAAGGAACACATCAGAACTGTGTACTATGTTAGTCTTCTGTAAATCTCAAAAAAAAAAAATTTTTTTTTGGCAGCACTGGGAACTGAACCCAGGGCCTTTCACACTGAGCTACATCTCTACCCCCCGCCCTTTTTAAATTTTGAGACAGGGCCTCACTAGGTCCCTAAATTGCCCAGGCTGGATTTGAATTTTCCTTCTGCCTCAGCCTCCTAGGGCGCTTGGATTACAGGTGTGCACTGTCATGGCAGGCTTAAAATTATTTAAATCTTTTAAAAAGCAGCAGCCAGCTGGATATCCTAGCACACACCTGTAATCTCGGCACTCAGGATAGGATGCAGATCATTAGTCCAAGGTTAGCCTGGGCTATGCAGCAAGTTCAAGGCCAGCCTGGGCTACACAGTGAGACGAGAAAAAAAGCAGCAGCCACGGGACCCTCTGCCCAGACACAAACACTCCACAAGCTCACTGCCATCTTCCCCAACATCCACCGTCTGCTTCTTCCAGAGGGACCTGTTTTTTCTTTCAATACTTTGTCCATGTGCTTTGGAAGTTGCCATTTCCCGCTGCCTCCCTTTTACCTATGTTTCTCCCCAAACGGCACAGCTCCTGTCACAGTACCTGTTCCCCACCAGCGCAACGGCACAGAGGTCGCCCTTCTGTACCCGGGGCAGGCCAGCAGGGGGCACCACGAGTCCTGGCAGCATCAAATCTGCAGCAGACAAAAGCGTCACAACTTTTGGATCCATCTTATTCCACTTTTTATTTCATCATTTATTTATTGACTGGACCAAGAAACATTTAGTAGGAATCAGCTATGTTATTCACAAGGAAAATTTTAAACAGCAACTTGAATATCAGCTCTCCTTCTGGGGTCTAGTGGTCAAATGAAAGCACAGCTGAGTGTTCTACACCGTGCTCTATCTTGTGCTGGTTTCCTAAATTCAGCTTTGTGACTTACAGTACAGTTGATGGCAGTCCACAAAGTCCTTTCATATCACTCATCTTATATAAGGCTTACAACAGAGTCCAAAAGGCCCAGAGAACTCAGCCAAGTGAGATGGGTAAGACACACACAAGCGTGCGTTCGTGGGAAAAACTGCGCTGTAAACCATATGAACACAGGAAATGGGCAAATTTTACTAGACGAGTTGGTCTTCACTAAGCAGATCTCAGGCAATAGCTAGAATATAGGAAAATCCTCTTACCTGCTCCCCCTACCAGTTTTTCCAGGACCAGGGGCCATGTTGTGAAGGTCGGCAGAAGATCTGGATAGGACCATAGTGTGTACACTGTACAAAGAGACATAGAAAACACTCATTACCAAAGAGCCAGTGTACCAGAGAACTGCCAAAGCCTGACACTGGTCACTTTAATTAGAAGACAGAAAAGAAACTCAACTCAAAGGTGGAGAAAGGGCTAGAGATGTAGCTTGGTAGTAGAGCACTTGCCTCCCATGCTCTTCAGGCCCTGAGTTCAAATCCCCAGTGCGAGGGTGGGGGCGGCTGTCAAAGCTAGAGAGAAGGCTTGGAGGAAAGGCCCACAAAGGCGTCACTCATGAGGAAAGCAGACTCAAGGAACTGTGTCACTTGGGATTTGAGGGCACCTATTGCTCCACCTGGATCGCAGGAGAAATAAATGGCCACACAGGATTCAAGGAGGAGCAGAAAACCAACAAGGGTTTCATTTAGAACCTCAGAATCAAGTGACTTAAAAACATGGAGCCAGCCTGTAAGGCATTTTGAAACTTTCTCATATTTATCATTTTATTTCCCATTTCCATAGTGATGAGCAGAAAAAGCTTCATTTACAAAGGGTCTGGCCCAGCAGAGAAGTGGGGGAAGAGGCGTGGCCTAGGAAGACTACTGTACTGCTGCAGCGAACCTTGAAGGGAGAAAAATCCCACGTAACAGCGTAGGTGTCAGCAGCTACGGCAAAGAGATAAGAAGACCTTGGGTCTCTGAAATCTGGGACAAAGAAAAAGAATTCTAGAGAAACAGGCAGAGCCAAAGAATAAATCTCTGAGAGACATCCTAATGAAGGCATCAGGAAGACCATTAGGTAGATAGCTCTAGCTGTTCTCCTAGCACCGTATCTCTCTTCACTGTTTTAGGAAAATCTTAAGGAACATATTTTACATACCCTGAAACTCCATCCTTTCCAAGACTTCTGCTCTAGTGAACCCACTGTAAACTCTTCTTTCTCAGAACTTCCCTTTGTAAACACCAGTCTTTCTGTGTGTGTGTGTGTGTGTGTGTGTGTGTGTGTGTGTATCTTTCCTATAGCAGTTTCTCGTTTTGGAAGACATAACTGTAGAAATTCTAGGTCTGCAAAGATCCTTAGGGGTGGTCTTGGAAGATCTATGGGGGCAGGTGAATGGAAGAAACAGAGAAGCAGTATGAGGCAAGGACTGTAGTTATGGCATTTGCGCTGTGTTTCCATACCTGTAGGATACAGATTTTTCTCCAGTTCAAACAGGATGGGGTTGCCAGCACTTGCGTACACAGTCACTGAGTCCCCTTTGTGAGTGTACAACTTGACAATGCTGAGCTCCTCCTTTCCAGGTATTAACTCATTGACCTGATCTGTCCCAAGGGTGGTGAAAGCAGCTGTCACATCAGCTCGAAGCTTTCTCCTGCAGAAAGCACACTGGGGCCATGAATGCTACTGGACACATTTTAACAAATACTGAGAATTTGGAAGGGAGGGCTTGTTATAAAATTGAAAAGGCCACGGAAAGATTGCCTGGTTTCGGAGGCCCTGTTCTCATACACTCCTCCAAAATCTTGTTCTCTTTCTCATCCTTTGTCTCCTCTATTTTCACACCATCCTGGGTCTGTCTTTCCATTTTAGGGACTGGAAAACTAAGGTCCAGTGAGCAAAGTTTGCCTGACATAGGACACCCAACCCTGCCTTCTTGACTTCATGTCTGGCATTCAGATCCACTTCTTTCTCAAATATGCTTGGCAAATTTGTCAGCTTGTGATTAAAGAGCTATACCACAGCACCAAGAATGTCACATGTAGAACACTGGTTCCAAAATCCTCAACAACATATTGTATCTGTATTTGAGACACTGTCTGATGAGATACACTTCTTCCTCCCAACTCATACTCCAGCTGATTCTCGTAACACAAGGAATCATTTTTCTCCTAATTTTATCGTTCTCAGGGCCCTATTCGATCTGTCTCAACGGGCTCTAAAGTCTGAGGGCGGGGACCTTGTATTCCTTCATTTTCGAACCCTCCACAACACTTTCACAGTGTGCGGCCAGTAAAAGCGGGCTGAATTACCTTTCTTTAAATTTCATCAGAACATCCAATAGCCCGGGACCTAACTCATGCCCTTCCCCTTTTCCGCGGGGTCCCTCCCCGCTGTACCCAAGGCCTCGGCCCCAAGTCGGCTGCGCTGCCCATCCAGACGTGGGCCGGAGGGTACAGAAGCGCCTCGTCTCCCTCACCTGTCCGACCCCTTGATGGCCGTGTTGGACTTGACCCGAAAGGCCTTGGCGAACATGTCCGCTGGGACAGCCCGGGGAAGGCCCGGAGCGCACAGAAGCCAGGCACCGTCAGGAAGGCGAGGGCGGGGAGCCTCCCGGGCCCGCAGCCCTGGGGGCAGCCATGTTGGGGGTCCGGCAGCGAAAAGTGGCCGGCTGGAAACCCGGGCTGCGCAGCTTTGCGGCCGTGGCCACTGCGCAGGCCGCGGCCACCCCTAGTGGCGAGGTGAGCTCAGGACTGCAGCAGGGCCCGCGCCTCAGCCCATCCTTTCTGAAAGGCAGGCGGGCGGGGGCTCTTCGCCCGCTCCGTAGGTGTGCAGTGGCCAGAACGCAGCAACAGCGATTTAATTCCGGTTCTTTCACTCCCTCAGCTTTGCCAGCTCCCATTCCATTCACTTTGGTCTCGTTCCACAGAATGAGTTGAGTTCACATTTTATTAAACTTCTGGCCTTATGAATGTCCCCCACCCCCATAGTGGGGATGGAACCAGGGCCTTCGCATTGAGCTACATCCCCAGCCTTTAAAAAATTTTTTATTTTGAGGCAGTCTCGCTAAATCACTTGGTTGCCTAGGCAGAACTCCAGGCCCATCTTGGGATCTTCCTGTCTCGGCCTCCCAGAGTCCAGGCGTGGGCTATCCCACCAGGCTGTGAATACTTTTCTTGAAGATTTTCATTTATTCAAATCTTTACATTGCTAGGATTTTCTCTGCGATGTTTTTTGTACTTGGGGTGTTAATGACAGCAACAAGGGCTTCACCCTGACCCTAGGTTTGCCGCTGGAGTTGTGCTAGGAGGGGAGAGAGATGAGGTTTCCCTGAGAGGAAGGCTGTGTAAGTGGGAGGTAAGGGTTCAAACACCTGGGAAATGGCCCCTGCTAAATTAAAGTTTGCATTGTAGCGCTTCAGACTAATTGTCCACCCACCAATGGAAACCCTAAGTGCTTGATTCATTGACACAGTTGCGCAAAGGGGGTTCCACATCCGCCTGTCCAGAGATGCAGCTCCTGCTGTGTCTGCCCTCCCTCACCTCCTCCTACACGTGGACCCGCCAGGCCTTTATTCTGGTGTACTCCAGCCACAGGCCCAAGGCAGAGGGTCGTAACGTGTCAATTATGAGCCTGAAAATTAGTGGTTGACAAGTAGGAGGCAAAACCAGGGGAGAAGGCGCCAGGAATCCAGCCTCCCCCTAGTAGATAGACGCTCCTTTCTCCAGGCAGGCTCAGTCCCTCCTTCCCCCATATACTGGCCTGCTCTGCTCTGTCTCTGCTGCGGGGCCAGTCCAGCGGCTGAACCCTGAGGTTTCTCAGCTTTCCCTTTGCAACTGAAGACCCCCACCCCCACCCTGCTGGGTTCCGGCGGTCTGTTTCCCACTCTGGGATCTGAGCTGCAGAACTGCAGGAAGGCTCTGGACAACCATAGCACAATGGCTGGGGGGAAAGTCACATCCACTATCTACTTGGCAGGGACATGGCTGTAAGGAAACATTCTATACGCAAGAGTAAGGAATATTCTGCAGGAAGGATAGATCAGAAGAGAGACCCTCTTCTTTAGCCTTCCTTTCCTTTTCCTTCCCGGTGAGTCCTAAAGAGAATTCCATTTATTTAACTCAGTGAGGCTGAGCGGACACTTAGTGGTCAGGTATGACTGTTAATCACGATTGTGTCAGTCTGAATGGATTAAGAAACATCTGCCAGGTTAGAAAAGCGCAGTTCTGCTGTGTGTGGATGATTGACGTACAGGTCAGCAAACTGAAGGAGGGAGACCCACCCGGGTCCTGGGCGGCATCAACCAATCAGCTTGTAACCTGGATGGAATAAAAAAGGAACGAAGGAAGTGTGCTCTTTTGGAGTCCCTCCAGTCTTCCTGAGCAGGTGCATTGGCTTTGGACATCTGTCTCCAGGTCTCCATTTCTTCAGCCTTCCAGGGCAGACGCACACCGGTGACTCCAGTGAGCTTTCAGGCCTTCAACCTGGGGTTGGTACTGTTTTTGTGCATGTGTGTGGGCGTGTGTGTGTGTTGAGGCAGGGTCTCACTATGTAGTTCAGGCTGGCCTTGAACTGACTGTGCAGCCCAGGCTGGCCTTGAACTCACAGCAACCCTCCTGCCTCAGCCCCGGAGTGCTGGGATTACTGCCACCTGGCTTGGTGCTATATTCTTGCTCCCTCTTGTTCTGTGGCTCCCATCTCCTTGGGCAGAGGAGCTGCAGCCCTCAGCTATACAGTCCAGCTCCAGGGTACAGACAGCCATACAGCCGTGGAGGACTCGTCCACCATGGAGATCTAATAAACCCCTTGATTCTGTCCCACTACAGCACCCCATACATCAAGCTCTGTGCTTATTAAAATGAATCAGACACAAGCCCTCTGTGGTCTTGAAATCAACAGGACACAAGGGTGTCCAGATCGATACTTCATTCACCACCACCTGCTGTTTCCTCTAACTCGCCTTCTCTACCCTCTGCCAAAACCCACACTCAAATACCCCGAAAACACTGAGCATTGATGTTTACAATTCAGAGATGACCTGTGGTTTGAGAGTCCTTTGATGGCTCTTGACGGCTTTCTAGATGAGCAGATGTTTTTAAAGCCTGGAAAAGAGGTGTCGCTCAGTGGTAGGGTGCGTGGCTTCCATGCAGGAGGCCCTGGGTTTGACCCCCAGAGTCATCATTAAACCCTCGCCCGTATACAGAGAGCCAGGGTGCAAGGTTTTGTACTTTCCTAAACACCTCCATGTTCATCCTCCATTTCACCTTTACACCAGCCCTGTAGGCAGTGGTTGTTACCTCCTAGGTGGGGCTTTCAGAGGTGGCTGGATCTAGAGTGTGTGATGCTGGGACTGATTCATGGTGCAGTGCTAGGATGAAGGGGTGAGTGCTACAGGCCCTAAGGGCGGGGACCCTGGCCAAGGTATAAGAGACTTAAAGAGGTTTCTCACTTGTTGCTTGCTTGCTTTTGCTGCCTTCTGCCCACCATGAACAGTTTCTCCTCTGTGATGCCCCTCTGCCAAGCCACCCTGCCCTGGAGCCAGCCGACTATGAAATGAAACCTCTACAAACTGTAAGCCAAATACACCTTTCCCCTCTTAACTTGTGGGTGTTGGGTATTTCGTCTCAGTAATGAGAAAAGTAACTAAGACAGGGTGTCAATACAAATTCCTACTCATCTCTGGGGGGGAGTCTAATTACTTCATACATTACATAAAAAGAAATTCCACATAGATTAAAGATCTAAATGTGAAAAAAATATATACCACAGAACTAAATATGCTCTTACTATGTGATCCATCAGTCATACACCTTGGTACTTACCCAGGTAAATTGAAACAGATGTCCATACAAAAACCTGCGCATGGTTAGTGACAGCAGGTTTATCCAGAACTGGCACAACCTGGTATCCTTTGGTAGGTGACCAGCTAAATTATGATACATCCAACAATGGAATATTACTCAGCTATAAAGAAATGAGCTACCAAATCTGAAAAGATGTGGAGGATCCTTAAATGCAATTCCTAAGGGAAAGAAGCCAATTGGAAAAGGATTATACCTAGAGCATGCAAGTGATGATTCCAACTTAATGACATTTTGAAAAGGGCAAAACTGTGGAGATAGTCAAAAGAAGAACACTTACTAAGAGTTAGTGGAGAGGGAGAAACGAGTGGGCTCCTGCTTTCCTCTTCTATTTCTGTCTTTAAAGTACCTTTGTGATACACTGGGTCCATCCAGTTTAGGAAAATCTGTCAATATAAGACCTTAGTTTAATTTCATTTGCAAAGTCTTTTTTTTTTTTTTTGGTCGAGCAAGGGGGCATATGTGCTGATTTGGAGGACAGCAGTATGGAAATCTTCGGGGACTATTACCTGTGTTCTGCTTATCGTGTGTTCGACTCTTTAATCAGAGGAAACTGTGTGTCACGGAACTTGAAGGCTCCTCTGTCTCATCCAGGCCATCCTCCCTGGCAATGTGCAGGTGATCACGGGTCTGGGTTCTGAAACCCAGCGGTCCAGGGCTGGAACTCTAGGTCTCCATTCCCAACTGGGTGATGGGGCAGGGTACTGATCTCTGAGAATGCTTTCTAACGGGTGAGACAGGAATGAGGGCCTCTCGCAGGGCCACTGGGAGTTTTAGATGAGCAAATTCAGGTGAGCAGAAAGGCACGTGTGGATGCTTGTCTAGAAAGGCATTTGTTAAAACATTTCCCAGGTGTCTCTCGGGTGTTTCCATGGAGCTGCCTGTCGTGCTGTTTCACAGGGGTTGGTTAGGAACTGGGGTTACATTAGATATGAAAGGGAAGGAATATATCCACTCATCTTTTCAAACACCAGTGACCAAACAACTTATATCAGGATGCAGAAGTAATAGTGGACTGAAGTCCATTGGATGATGCACTGGGTTCTTCTAGTATTCGCTATGCTGGACAGGACTCCAGTTCAGCTGTCAAATGGACCAGGCCCCAAGAGAAAGAGCTCATTGAGGAGTGGAACGTTGGAGCCATTACGAAGCCGAGTGGGATATGGTTAATACAATCTCATTTTAAAAGAAACCACACAGCAACGGAGATGTCCAAGTCACAGAAATGGGAAAAGCAAACGGTCATTCCTGTTCAGTTTGACAGACTGAAATCAATCAAGCAAAACAAAGAGGGTGTTGGGCATGGTGGCACACCCCTGTAATCCCAGCACTCTGGGTGTGTCGGGGGGGCAGAGGCAGGAGGATTGCTGTGAGTTCAAGGCCAGTCTGAACTACATAGTGGGACCCTGTCTCAAAAACAAAACAAAAAGCTAAGAGGGTCTGGGCTGGTTGTATTTGGGATTAGGTCTAAAGGATAATGTTCTCCCTGCTCTGCCCTTTCTTCAAGGAGAAGCAAACTACTGATTGACTCTCTTGAAAAATATGGGGTATTATGTGAATCTCCACAAGATAAAAGAATACTTCCTGTGAATTGTCAAAATAAGGGTCACTCAGCATCTTTTGAAGATCATATGAAGCAGAGGTATTTAGAGGGGGTCTTAGTCATTCATTGAGAAAGTGAGCATGGGAATCTCTCCTGGGTTACTTTCCTTGGGACAGTACCAAAGAGGAAAGAACTCAATTACAAAAGCAACTGAATACTTCAGGATGAAGCTAAAGTGGAAGTCTGTAGTGAGGAACGAGAGAACAGAAAGGTGAGATTAGGAGATTATAGAAGTCTTATTGAAAAGGATGCTAACCGAACAGATCCAACAAGCATTTTAGGAAGACCGAAGTAACCAGGGCTGATTTTGCTTCACACTTTGAGACCTACTGTGGGTACGATTTTGATTTAGGAGACGTGCAAGGAACAAGGGACTGACTTTCCCCTTTTGTATGTCATGGAAAATGAAGTGGACGCCTTTTGGTACTTTGCCTCTTACATGGACCAAATGCATCAAAATTTTGAAGATCGAATGCCAGGCATGAAGACCCAGTTAATTCAGCTGAGAACCTTACTTCAATTATTGGACAGTGGATTTTGCAGTTACTTAAAATCTCATGCTGGCTGAATGTGATTTAAATTGGACATTTTCATCAATGTAATTTAATGTGTAGGTAAAGAACTATTTCAACCATTAATAAGTGGACTGGCAGTATATTTTTTACATGGAATTTTCTTTCACTTGTATATAAAAGCTATAAGTACTATTTATGGGTATAAGAAGAGACAGGTACATTTTCTTTAACTGAATAAACCTGACTGTGGTGGGTTAACTAATGGTCAACTTGGAGCGCCCAGCTGAACTGAGCGTAGCTCTTGGTGGGGAAGACCCACTTGAGAATTGTTGTCAACTACATAAGAGGAGAACTGGAGGGGAACATTGCATGCTGTTGATTTTCCCGGAGAAGCTTGCCAGGGCTGGTTTTCTTGATAGGAACTTGGCTGTTCTCATGTCAGAGGAGCTCAGGTCCTTGCTGTCACCACAGATGGCTGCAGTTCTTGTCAGGGGAGCTCTGGTCTTAGTCTTGAACATCGCTTCCTGGCTCCAGTGCAGATCCCTCAGCCTGGTGGCACAGGTCCTTCACCCCCCAAAGACTTTCCAGCTTCCACCACTGGCCTTTGGGCCTTCCTGATGCAGATCCTCCATGCAGACTTGCAAGAGACATTACCGTGGGCTCTAGGCCTCTGGCTGGGCTCATGGAGGACATTGCCTTGGGCTCTAGGCCTTCAGCTGGACTTGTTTGGGACATTGCCGTGGGATCCAATTCCTCAGCTGGATTCTTTGGGTCTCTAGTGTGTGCACAGATCTCTTGCACCTCTCTGCATTTGACTTTTTGGGTAAATATTATAAAATAATCCTATACATTATGTGTCCTGTATTAAATCTACTCCCTTGCAAACCCTGACTATAACACTATTGATTTATAAACCTGATTCAATGAAATTAGTATGTGGCTTCAATGAGATTTTTTCCAAAATTATTTTCTTAACATCTATTTCATGAGACTGCATTCTACCCTGTACCTGGTGTAATTTTAAAATTAATTTCCTGTAACTTTACTCATAATGTTTATTATCTTTCCTAATGCATTAACTGATTAATGGAGTCTTTAAATTTTTATGAAATACTCTGGAAAAGGTTTATGTCAAATATTTCAAGATATCGCCAGTCTGAATACTGTTTTGTATATGAATGAGGCTGGTGTCTTTACCATGCAGTGTTGCGTGATTTTAAGTTATATAAAGTTAACAAAACAGATTTCATTTTAATTGTAATTTGTTGACTCTATACATATCATTAAAGTAAATTTGAGGTTGAAAAAAAATTTTTTTAATGAGCAAATACAGCACTTTTGATGTATTTTTACTCAAAATAAATACTCAGCAAATGGCAATGACGAAGCAAAGGAGTCCTACCTAGGCTTTAAGATTTCAGAAACTGTAGTTTTACTCGGCCCCTCAAGAACTGTAGGGGGCAGTGGTCATTGTGACTCAGCAGATCAAGATGAAAGAGGTGGCAGAAATTTTGGGAAAAGAAAAATGTTTCTGGGAATAAAGAAACCCTTTGGGGATTAGGAGACACAGAACCAAATGTCTACAGGTATATTTTTGTTGTAAAGAAATTCACAGCAATGAAAAGATTTCAAAGTGAACCTGGCATGATGCCACACATCTATAATCCCAGCACTGGGAAGGCTGAAGCAGGAGGATCACGAGGTGGAAGACCATCTATGCTAAGCAAGACTCTGTCTCCCAACACAAACCAAAAAAGAAAAAGGAAAAAAAGAAAAGAAAATCATTTCAAACTTAATCCAACCCACAATAACTATTTTCATGACAAAATTTCAGCCGAGTGTGACTACTGGCACTTGTTTTTTTTTTTAAATACTGGAGACTGAACACAAGGCCTTTGGGCTGAGCTATACCTCCACAACTCTAGCCCTTTTTATTTTCTATTTTGAGACAGGGTCTCACTAAGTTGCTAAGTTTCATAGGCTGAGTTTAAATTTGTGACCCTCCTGCCTCAGCCTTGCAGAGAGCTGAAATGACAGGCAGGATATCTTCTTAATGAGTGCATGTGAACCTGCTATGATCACTTTCTCATTGTTCCACCGATTGTTTTTGCGGTGCCGGGGGATCTTCTCCAGGGCCTCACACGTGCTGGACAGGTGTCCCCACCCAGTTACACCCCTGCACCCTTTGTCGTTTGAAGATCCTGAAACGAGTCCAGTTTCCTGTTCATTGCAGGTTTCCTAGGACTGACTTCAAAAGGCGGGCAGGCACCTTCCACGGCGCGTGGCCGGTCCACTGGTGAGTAATCCAGCGTTAGCAGGTGAATAATGGTTATTCTGAGCCACTCATGTATGGGGTTTTGGAGAGGAAGCAAGGGGGCCGTGGTGTGGAGCTCCGCTGAGTCCGTGTGAGACCCGAGCGCAGCCCTGCAGTGAACAAACGCTGGAAAGCACGTGGGTCACGGAGGTCGGAGACACTGAGCTCCAGCGCCCCCCTTGACCATGGGAACCGCTGGCGGAGACAAAGGAGGCCTCTGTATTTCCCACCTTAGAGGCCAGAAGTGGAGGCAGGAATGCTTCAGCTGGCTCTGGAAAACGTGTCTTAAACAGGACTGAAGCCGCAGTGACTCAGAGCGAAGTAGGGAAACTTGCGGGGGCAAGTCTTTTCCACTTCTAGCGCAGTGCAGAGCCGCCTGCGGAAGTGCCAAGAGCGGGATTACTTACCAGACTTTTGCAATCTTAGAGCAGCAAGAGACTTTCACAAGAATCTAGTCCAAACTTTGTTGCCATGGAAGTCTTTCTTCAAACAACAGCTTCAAAGGGCCCCAATACAAACGCCAGATGGAAGCAAGATTGCTCTGGCTGCTGGGGAGGGAGAGGGAAAGAAGGCTGATTTATAAAATTAGAAAATCTACAAGGCCATCTTGGAAGAAAGTCTTTTCTCTTGATGTTTATGTCATAAAGAGGCTAAAGCAATATTGATCGCAAAAAATAAAGCTCCCCCAGTGGACAGATCCTTAATTTGTGGCGTGGATCTTACAGATGTTGAATATTTAGACATTTTCACTCGGGGCAGGAAACAGCGAACGCGAATGATGGGACTGAGCCTTGCGGATCGGAAACAGCGAGCCCCACGTGCCAGCAGGGGGCGCACGCGCCGGGCGTTTGGGGTTTGTTCCTTCCGGCGGGGTCCCCGCGCTCAGGGGTTCCTCGCGCTGCGGCCCACCCCTCCCCTCACTTTCCTTCCATCGGTCGCAGCCTGACTAACTTCAGTTTTACTGAGGATCTGAACTTTTCGGAAGGAAAAGCACCTCCACAGAGCGTTCTAATAGAGCAAACAGGGCCCCCAGGGCCGGCGGCAGAGCCGAGCTCGCAGCTCCTGCCTGGGCCTCGGAGTGAAGCCCGACTCCAGGCCTCAGTTTCCCCGGTGTGAAATGGCTCTGCGCCCGGCCGCCCGCTCACGCTGTCACGGGGAGTTAGCGGCCGGCTTCGAGTCTGGATCGCAGATAAATGCAACAGGGGCGCCGCTGAGCTGCCCGGGTGCGAGCGCCCGGGACGCAGGCGGGGCGTTGTAGAACCCGGGCCGCCGCGAGCAACTTAACAGCAGTCGGAAGGGTGGGCAACACTTCTGGGGCGGAAACCGGGCTCTTGCCGATCCTCGAGTTGCCCCGAGGTCGGGTGACAGCTTTGGGGCGCGCCGGCCCTGCCCCGTCCCCGCCCCGCCCCTTCCCCGCC